AATTGAACTTCTTACCTCATTAGCCAAAAATTGTATCAACTCATTTTGAATTGTTTTGACAAGATATTTATACTGAATCTTGAGTGTCATAGCCCTCCGAATGTTCTCTCGCATTACTAGATCAAACTCACTAACAGTTTCCACCATTTGTAAAAACATGTCATTGTTCTCAACATGGAGCCTCTCATCATCTCCTCAAAATGGCTAGATGGTTTTGGTAAGTCTTTTCACAATAGCAATTATCCTCGTTACTATGTGTCTCCAATTTCTCTTTCTGAATCGATCATCAATTGAACACTTTTATCAATTGTAGTTTTTTTTCGAACCCTATTTTCCAATTCAATCAAACTAGTCATGCAACATAAATCTCCTCATTTCTTTCATGACTTTTAATAGACCAATGCAAATTATGTCAATATTTGAATTCATCATTACCCAGTTGGCCAACTTTAGTCACATTTTTTGGTGTTTTAAACAACTTGCAGTAAAAGCAGAAGATCTCATCCATAGATACTGAATATACTAACCATCTTCTATCAATTGTTTGCCNCTGAATCCTTCATTACCCAGTTGGCCCGATTCTGATGGCATTATTTAGTGTTTTAAACAACTTGCAACAAAAGCAGAAGATCTTGTCCATAGATACTGAATACACTAGCCATCTTTTATCAATTGTTTGCCCATTTGGTAGTAATCACTTATATTGTGAAGAATCAAAATGTCCATTTGCACAATCTTTGGAAAACAAGATGCCATCAACTATTTTTGGACCCATTTCAAATAAAAAATTCCTCGTTCTTTGATCAACGAATTTTCCATTCCCAAAATCATCCAAATTCAAAGAAAAGCAACCCTTTTCTTTCTTATCATCTACCTCATTAACATAGATAGTTTCATCACTTCTTCTTCTTCTTTATCATCTACTTTATTAACACAGGCAAGTTTCATCACTTCTTCTTCCTTATCATCTACTTCATTAACATAGGCTGGTCGAATCACTTATTCATCATTATCATCTACCTCATTAACATAGACATGTTGAATCACTACTTCATCATCATTCAACGCATTCACATTGTTGCTTTTAAAGTACTTGTCAATATTCCCAACTTGACATTGAGTTAATACAATTTCATTTTGTTTCATTTTTTCTCTTTAGAGCTACAGACTCATATTTAGGAGGGATGGTGCATGAGTCTATATCTAATGCCTAATGATTAACCTAAAAGACAATTACAAAATATATCAATCATCTCATAATTAAAGTTTTCAATATAGTTATTATGTGCGCTTGTGCAATTGATCCTACAATAACTAATCATGTAAGCCGACCAGGCTGCAATTATATAAGATGATAAGGTTTCAAACATTTCCAACAAATTCAATAATAAGTTAGGGCAAGCCCTTGCTTACCTAAGAAGTAGAATTTCGATGAAAATTATGGAATCACACCCTTGAAAATTCCATCATCACAACTCACAAGCTTGAAATAAAAATTTAACATCAACCACCAATACAAATATACAATTCTATTGTATTAATCTATTCTTTTTAATTCAGAATCATATTGCAAATTGCAATTTCATCATAAATCCAATTCAACTATTTTCAAAAATCAGAAAGTGGAAACCAAACCATAGATAAGATCATAGGAACCCAAAAATTAAAAAGAAAGACAATTAAAATTGGATTACAATTTCAATTTACAAATTGCACAACTCACAAGTCACAATTTCACAAATATAATTTGCACAGTCTGCACAGACTACATTGCAGGGCTTCTGGCGTCTAGTTTGGCCCTCTCTTGGTGGCTTCATGGCTATCAATGGCAAGCCTAAGGTGACGACTGACGTAGGCCCCTTCTGCCTTGCCACAGGGCCAGCCCTGACTCTTGTCAATATCTCATTTGAAGAAAATAATAGGGAAGAGTTCACAAATCATGTATTAACTTTGACAATTGCAAAAANATATTTAAGGTATTTTTGTAGTGTAGAGTTCACAAATCAGGTATTAACTTTGACAATTGCAAATATCTAGTGTTAAGTTTCAAACTTGCAAAAATCAGGTATTAATTAATATTAATTATTTAAAAATTAATTTTCGATCACAGTTTTTTTTGCAGGTCATAGATTTCCAAATTAGTTGGTCACATAAAAAAAATTTCTAGGTCACAATTAATTCGTTGGTCACATATCAAAATTTATAGGTCACACAGTCACATATTTCTAAATTAATTGGTCACAAATTTTTTCACGATCACATATTATATAATTTTTAGGTCACAGATAACAAAATGGTTGGTTGAATTGAACAATTGGAGAAAGATTGAAGCATCAAAATTCAGTAGTCAATTTGATTTTTCCAAACTTACAAAAAGAAAAACAATTCTAACAGAAAGTAGACTCCTC